CAACGACTACTACCTATTGTATACTAGTTTACTACTTACTACTACTACTAACTACGACGACTACTACTACTACTACTACTACTACTACTACTACTACTACTACTACTACTACTACTACTACTTCTACTTCTACTACTTCTACTACTACTACTGCTACTGCTCCTACTACTACTGCTACTACTACTACTACTACTACTACTACTACTACTGCTACTACTACTACTACTACTACTACTACTACTAGTAGTAGCCACCCTCCTACCAACTACCTGACGCCTAAACCCATCATCATCATCATCATCATCATCATCACCATCGTTGGTATTGGATTACAACATCACGAAAGTACTGTATGTAAATACCGAGTCAAATGGATGTGCTCTTAATTAAAAGTATGTCACCATGCCCCTCCCACACCTGAATAGCGGTGGCTGGCAATTATTGGACTACGACATCACGAAAGTACTGCAAATACCGAGTAAAATGGATTTGCTCTCAAACACTGTTAAGGAGGGGTAGTTGTTGGGAGGCCAATACTACTAATAATAATCATAATAATAATCATCATAATTACCACTACAGTTTTCGCAAATTTCGCTATTGTTCACATGTTTCGCGTTTTTCGCGTGTTTGGTGCTTTTCGCATGTTCGCTTTCTTCGCATGGATGGCTTTTCTCGCGGTCTTCATTTGGTGTGTGTTCTTGCGTTGTTGTTTGCGTTGTTCGCGTACACCTCTGCGCTACTGTGCCCACCTTCACCACCTCAAAGGAGCTGCATGAAAGACTAGAACACTGAACCATATGCCTGGAAACCTTGGCACCCGGCGATGCAAACTAAGCCCTGGCATCCCCGAACACTTCAAAGCCAGCACACAATCTTCCAATAAAGAAGCATGCGTCCTCAGAGTGCTTGCGGTCTTTAGGCTTCATGTCCGAACAGTGCCCTTGGCAGCAAAAGTCGACGCGCGAGGCTTGGCCCACCTGGCATCGAATGTTTGAGATTCTCATCTGCCAATGCGTTTGTAAAACTGCTCCAAGCCGCGCTGCACGAACTGCAACCTTAGTACCGTTCCTTCTGGGATTCGAATTTCAGCTCTAGAGCTCTAGCGGTTTCCGCAGAATCTGGTTGTACTCTCGACCCACCTCCATCTCGAACTTGAATGTCAGTTCCGCATCCCACGACTCCTCAAGCAGGACCACATACTCCGAGATGGCCGAAGTGAATTCCGAGGTGATCCTGCCGCCTACTACCTCAAAAGCTGCCAATTGCGGAACCCTGGAGAGGCTGTAGGCCACAAGCAGTGACGGCACCGCAAAGGGCAAGAGCCTGAAGCAGCCCACTACTGCTGTATGAAGGCCTCGCATGTTCGCATGGTTTGGGAAGGCGCAGCGCAGAACCTTTGGCCAAGACTTCTGCAGGAGAACATCTTCCGAGCTGAGGCTCCATGGTTTGGACAACCAGCTCACCAATCTCCATACCATGCCCAGCGCCTGCTCTTCCATATGGTCCTCGAGCTTACCTTCGCTGATATGTGCAAGAAATTGTGGCAATGTGACAACCGGGGTGCTCTCTGTGGCTAAGGACTCGAGATCTTCCCAGGAAGTCGCGCCAATGCCTGTCAAGGCCGAGTTTGCCCAAACGAGGCTTCCAGCCGCTGTGGCAAGCCAGGGGGCCAGTCTCCACAGGTTGGCAGCATGTTCATATGTGTTTGCAAGCAGGACCAAGGTAGCCGTTGCTGTCCAAATAATACTTACTTGGCCCAAGGGTGTTCTCAACAAGTTGGTGATGCCTAGAAAGTCAATGCGGTAGCCGCGGCTAGCAGCTACCCGCACCAGAATGCTGCGCATGTGCGACACCAAAGCTGCCCCAACCAAGAGCTCCGTGTTGACAGCGACCAGCATGAAGCAAGTAACCAAGGGAAATCCAGCTTCATCCCCGGCAAGAACCCACTTAACGGCCAATAATCCATGCGACATGGTTGTTGCCACCTTTATGGATATGTTCGCCACAGCCGCAACGAACAAGAAGGGTGACATAACAATGGTCTTGTCTGCATGTGTGGATGCCGGCCACGAAGATCGACAGCCTACTGCCAACGGCAACACAACCCAAAACCCTTGATAAAGCACTCTCTTGCCGAAAGCCCTTGGCGCAGGCTCTGCTTGCGGATGTTTTGCCCAGCTACTCCTAATCCAACACGCTAAGTGTTCGCAAGTTGTCTTGCTGTTGATTTCTCTTCCACAATGAAGGAACTCGACTCGGAGGCCTTCGCGCAGCAGGATAGCGACGCGAAGCAAGCCAAAGCAACACATGGCTGCCAGAGTTGCCATGAGCACCTTCCCAACGTGCTTTTGCAGAAATCAGAAAAACCACTCCGGCTGCTTTGTGCCCCGACTAAAGGAAGCAGTCTTGATATTATCTGGTCCTGTGGATCTGGGTGATTTTTGTTTGGCCTGCCTCTGTCCTTCTCTAATGTACTCTGGATGCCTCAATCTGCGCTTCGTCCGCTCTCAGTCTGCACTTCTATGATATTGGGCAATCGCCTGTCCGGACCCCTCTCCGAAATCCCTCAAAACGACTCTGTCAGACCGAGCCTGCTCGCTTGAGGCCGCCCACAGTGGCGACTCTGATCCTGGACAAGCTGTTTCAAGCTTTCTGTTGCCAGCGCCTGGTCTGGCCGCATTAAGTTCAGATTGCAACGTCCTTTCGAACACTGGCCCTTCATGAAGCGGGGCTCAGCTGAACGTCTACGGCTATGCCAATCACACCGGTGCTAGAGGGCTCCACACAGAATGCGCTCTCCAGAACTGAAGGTCCGACGTGCCAGTCGCATCCCAGCAAACCCTTCTCCTGGCTTGGCTGTGTTCGGAGCTGCTGCCGGCGCCAAAATCGCCAATGACGGGCGTGCCATGACCCTGCGAAGCCCGGGCCTTCTTTGGGCCTAGGGCTCAAGAGCTGGACTCTGGGGCACCGGTGGCAGCTTGGTTGAAGCACGTAGCTGCGCATGCAAGATCTGAAGTCTAAGACGAAGCGAATATGCGGTTCACGGCATGTCCAGAAAAAGTAGCCTCCGCTGGCAGCTTCAAATGTACACACCGTACCACCAGGATGCTGACCGCCACCAGGCTGCGACAGACGACGGCCGGCTGCAAGTCAAGAAGATTTTGACATACCAAAGCCGCAAGCAGTTTAGGGAGCTTCCTATGGTTTTGGGCCCAGTTTCCACTGGTTCATCCTCTCGGTGCTCTTGGGCAATACACAGGTATACCAGTCCAAGAGTTCAGCAGTTTCCTCTGCCTCGTGATCTTCACTGATGTCATTTGAGTCATATTCTATACTGTGATTACTTCCAGTCTCCTTACTCGGCAATAATTTTCCTCTTCACTTCATCGATTTGCTCGAAGGAGCCTCAGGAAAGTCATGTTTCCTCATTGACAAATCGACAAGAAAACCTAACAGAAAGAGACTCGGATGCAGGCATTCGGTTCTTGTGCTTTCTTCGGGGTAAGCGATAGGAGACGATCTTTATTAGGGTTTAGGCGTAGGCTTTCGAGTGTCGGTCTTCCTGTCGAGCTCCTTTGGCCTGCCTTAGCCTTAGCCTGCAAGGATTAATACATCGGTCATTAAGCGGCAACTCTCGGTACAAACCAACCCCTAAACCCTACGCCCTAGACCCAAAGGAAGGGCCGACAGAAACCGAAAACCCAGAACCAACTACTTCCGGGGGTATAGAAGCCCGGGCCCCTAGGCTAGGGGTACCTTGATACAGGAGTTAGCCTAGAAACACGTTAGCCTAGACCCAGCGCTTCCTTCTACTTTCGGGATGTCAAGCCTTGGACACCTGAACACCTAAACCCTAAAAACTACACCCTAAACCCTGAACCCTGAACCCTAAACCCTGAACCATAAAACGTTGACCTCTCGAAGCACGGAGCCGGAATGTTTTAGTGTACGGGCCAGCGCTTATACAAGACCCCGGAACCACCTGTGCGGCAGCTTGATTGTTTCCCACGGCTCATCATGCGCTAACGCATCAGCAAGTGCTGCTCGCCACCAGCTCAAGGCATCGGCGACCATGAGCGCCTCCAGCACAAGCTCCAGGCATGTTGGAATTGGGGGGTACTCAGAGGGTTCCATGCTCGGCGCAGGGCGTCAGCTTTCACCGGATGGTCCCACAGGAAACCAGCACACGCTACAGACGGTGGTGTATAGGGGCTTACCAGGGGTCCGTCAGCTACAAGAACTCCAAGACACAGATTTTCTCAGCTTGATTCAGCTTGATCATCCACAATTGGACCCCTTCAACCCAAACCCTGAACCCTAAACCCCCAAACCCTACACCAAACACCGACGAGTGCTGGCTCTGAGGAGCATGATGCTGCGCCATTAGCGCCGAGACCGCGAGTCCTGCAAACGGCTTGGGGGTGAATTTACGTTCGGGCTCCTCTTTGAGTTATCACTGCAGAAAGGAGGTGTCATGCCCTTAGCAATAAATAGATCGCACTCTGCTCCCAAGACTTGCAGCACGAATGATGCTTCTGGTAGTGATAGAATGATCATCACACTCATGGAACAGACGGCAAAAGCCAAAAAACCTAAGATGCCTCATGGTAAGAGCGTCACCTATCTTTGGGCTTTCAAAAGAAGGAAGCATACAAGACCAGCTCATGAAAAGCATGAAAAGGTCGGTTACAAACCAGGCTGCCTTGGTCAATATCACCATCGCGACAATCACCATCATCCTCACTTAGAAATGAGAACAATTAGAACAAGAGTAAGAAGAATAACAACAGAAATAATAATTCTAGCATGTGCTGGTTTTCGACACAACCACAAGCTGCAGCCTTGTCGTCGTCATCGGCAGTATGACCCAGATGAGTAGCAACAATGTCAGTAGGAAAATACACTGACAGTAACAATCAGCCTCGCAAAGCCGTTGCTACGACGACCAAAGCCCCCGAAGCCAATGCCAACGTGGAATCCATGCAGAGGCCTCGCTCACGCGTCAAGGCCCCAAGCGACGCCACGAGCGAGGGAAGTGAGACGAAGGGCAGGAGATGGGGTAGTGTGGCCCACTCCTGAGACGGCTTACGCTTTTAGGGTTATCGCGATCTGCTACGGCATAAAAAGGGCGCTGCAGGTCGCTGTAAGCCTCTAGACTCTAGAATCGAACATCAACGTTCATCGTTGTCGAACTGACTTGAAGGTCGAAGGGTTTGAGATATCTTCCGAAGGGCAATGACGAGTTAGCTTCGCATACATTAATCGTCATCTCTGAACACCGTTGCTACAGTCGACTGGGCATGCCAACGAAGGGACTGTATAACGATACCAGTAGCGACGGTCGTCGATGAAGCGGTGAATGGCCCATGACTGCCTCGGACGGTCTTGCTTGTCCCAAGCCCCAGGTCCAGGTGATCTGGGGAGCTCAATGTTTAGCACAGTTGGAGAAGGGTTTGGGGGGGATAGCATCTGTTAAAGTTATAGTACAAAGAGGGGATGTTATTGCCAAAACGGACCGGATTGTCCGAGCTTCCAGCTTACGTTGGAGTGGATCGACAGAAACAGGGGATGTTAGCACAGAAACCACCCAAAACCCGTCAGAAGAGCTCAATGGCGGCCCGGCTGCAGGTAATTCGTGGGATGATAAGCAAACGGCTCCTCTGCACCTCCACGACGAAACTCCTCAGTTCCCGACCGAGATCCGAAAATTCCGACTGTCAGGGCTGCGGATGCTGAAGCAACCCACACGATCAAAGGACGAAGAGCCCGAATCAGGTCCCTGTCCCCAACATGAAGACCGGTGGGACATACAATGCCGTCTCGGGCCACCGCTGAAGAACAGCTAGCGCCTGCACATCAACCCAGCGGCTGGCGGCGCAACAGAAAGGCAGTGTCTCTCAGCATCATAGCCTGCCACGGCTGCAGCTGGCAGTAACTCCGAGGCCACACAGAACACACGGTCGAAAGCATCCTGTCCCAAAGCCCAGAGTCCCGGAAGGAAGCAAGCACACAATACAAAGGCCAGCTGCAGGACTCCTAGAGGACAGCCGATTTATAGAAGATGTCGTACTGCGGTTTGTGTAGTTTCCATGCTTCTGCTCCAAGGACTGTCGATACGTTACAACCAAACACTGATAGCAATAATAATAGTAATAATGATACTACTAATAATAATAAAACGGGAATAACAATAATGATAAAATTCTTAGATTTGTGGACCAGGATCGCACTGCCAGACCGAAGCCCTGGACCCTCTCCGTTGCCTCCGAAGGTGCGGCTGCTCCAGATGAACTTGTGGCTCATAGGCTCCTGTCCAAGCGCATGTGTGGGTAGTATAAGAAGGGGTACCCCTTGAAGGGTACCCCTTCTGAACCCTACTTTTGGCTCTCTTAAAAGGGACCTTATTGAGAGGGTCTATATCCCCAAGGGTCCCCCTAATCCTAACTCCCATTGCGGGGGGGAGACACATCCAAGATGAAAGGGAGAACAGGGTGAAGCTGGTGGCACGAAATAGCACCACGCACAGGTTGTAGGACAGCGTGAAAGGCTGGCAGCTGTCACCGCTTCAGTCTCTTCTGTAGAACTAGTTGGTGCGACATCGCTGCTGCAGCGCCTGACGGCATTG